TTGAGCCACAGCTCCACTTCCTGTTTTCTGGTGTTTAATTGGAGATAAGAGTCTCATGGACTTTCCTGCCCCAGCTGGCTTTGAACTGTGATCCTCAGATCTCAGCCTGCTAAGTAGCAGGAGCCACCAGCACCTGGCTTGATAGTGACTTTATGGTTCTAAACATCAGGATCCTTATTAGAAATAGAATGTATTTGGGTTCTGCTGATTAAGTTTTCTGTGTCTAGATGGATGATATAATCATTGTAACTTCGTAAAAATGTTTTAGTTAATCATGCAATTGGGTGTTCTGGCTAGTGGGTGGGGAGGAGTCAAGTTATCCTCTTAGCAAAATGATTAATTTATTTGTGATAGGTCAGAAACTACATTAGCATTTTTCCGAGGGGAGGAAAAGCCTGTTGGAACAATCTTCTCTCTCTCTCTCTCTCTCTCTGTGTGTGTGTGTGTGTGTGTGATTGGGCTTGAACTTGGAGCCTGGTTTTCACTTTAAGGTTGGTACTCAACTTAAACCACAGCTCTACTTCTAGTTTTTGGTGGTTAATTGGACTTTTCTGCTTAAACTGGCTTTGAACCACAATCTTCAGATCTCAACCTCATGAGTAACCAGGATTACAGGTGTGAACCACCAGTGCCCAGCCAGTTCTTACTCTTTCCAGATGTCTACCATCTTACCCCATAGGCAGAAACTTGTTTGGAGATTAGGAATTCTCTGCAGTTTTGGAAAAATATTACAAATGCTTCCTACCTCACACACAGCTGGCTTAGTAGAATTCCAAGTAAACAGAAAATACTTTCATGTGTTCTAACATGAGTATCTTCGGGCTACCAAGTGCTTATGTTCATCAGTGTTCAAAGAATGTTCCTAGAACCATTAGCTAGCTATTTTTACTTATGTTCCATAATAGGTGTCTCATTAAATTGAATACAGGCATACCTATACAAAAACCACAAACAACCCCTGCTTACTACTTAGTGAAGCAAATTCAAGAAAAAATGCATCTAGTGGGCAAAAAGGAAACCATGTCAAATAGGAGTTGTACCTCTGGTGCCTGGGGGCATAGATAGGCTGAATTTAACATAGCTGACATAGAAGGAATAGTTACTACCCATTTGCAAATTAAAGGAGAAAGTTGACTTGGTTCAAGATTTCTGTTTTTAGACTTGTAGATACTACAGAGAAAGGACATGAACAAATCCAAATTATTAACAACTTTTTATTTGTCTCATAGATAAAGTAGTTTTAAGCTGGGTACCAGTGGCACGTGCCTGTATTCCTAACTACTCAGATCTGAGATTTGCAGTTTAAAGCCAGCCAGGGCAAAAAAATCTCCACAAGACTCTTATCTCCAATTAACCACTCAAAAACCAGAAAGTGAGGCTGTGGATCAAAGTGATAGAGGACTAGCCTTGAGCCAAAGTGCTCAGGGACAGCGCCCTGGCCCTGAGTTCAAGCCTCACAGCCAACAACAAAAAAGTAATTTTTAGCTATTTTGTCAAACTTTACTGTGTCATAAAAGGGTGAGCATTTTGGCCAAAGCTACAATTCTTACGTTGCCATTTTTCATGTGTTTGTGGACATTTATTACTTTCCTTCTAGACTTTATAAAAGTCTAGTGATTTGGGCCAGGCACAAGTGGCTCATGCCTATAACCTGAGTACAGGAGACTGAGTTCTGAGGATCACAGTTCAGAGCCAGTTCAGGTAGGAAAGGCTATGAGTTAAAAGTTGTAGAAGAGTTTATTATTTGACATTTTTGTTCAGATATCCAGACTGAACTTGTTTTTCTTTTTTGAGACAAGCCTATTGCCTATTTTGCCCAGGCTGGCCTTGAACTCCTGAGCTCATGAGCCTATCAAATTATAAATTGGTATAAGCTGCTACTTTGTCTGTGACCAGGCATTCAGAGTTGTATTTGCTGCTTTTAGTAGCTAGCAATGACACAAGAGCTCCATGCTTTGCCTTTGAAGTGCAGAATTTTGTATAAAGTTCTTGTCTTTAGGGTTTAAGAAAAAAAGCAGGTCTGAGAATATGGCTTGGTGGTAGAATGTTTGCTTAATATGCATGAAGCCCTGGGTTCTATTCCTCTGTACCAGATAGACATAAAAAACTGGAAGTGGCACTGTGGCTCAAGTTGTAGAACATTAGCCTTGATCACAGAGAGGCTCAGGGATAGACCCTAGGCCCTGAGTTCAAACCCCGGGACCAGCAAAAAATAAAAATAATTTGTTTTTAAAAAGCAGCTTTTCTTTTCTTCTTTGTTTTTTTTTTTTTTTTTGCCGGTCATGGGGTCTGAACTCTGGGTCTGGGCGCTGTCCCTCAGCTCTTCAGCTCAAGGCTAGCGCTCTACCACTTGAGCCACAGTGCCACTTCCAGCTTTTTCTGTTTATG